CAATTTTTATCTCAAAAGTTATTTTCAATTTGTACCCTTCAAAACCCATTAACATACAAGAATTCTAACATTTATCGTGCATACAATCCATCAAGAAGCATACAATTTAATTAAATCATTCATTGGTCAATTCAAGCATGCAAACAGAGGAAATTCAACACATATAAAAATAATTAACCACCTACATATTATCATACAATCTCAATATGAAAGAAATTCCTAACCTTACCATAGATTGATGATTTCGAAGCTTCCAAATGGGTTCTTATTCTTCCCCCTCGAAGTCCTAACTATTCCTTTCTTCTCTTTTCTCCTCTTTTCCTTGTTTTCACGTTCTGAGTTTTTCTTCTTTGTTTCCCCTTTCCCCTTATTTTTGTTTTATTATCACAATTTTTAATTATTCATTACCTCACTAAATGAATATAATAATAATTCTACTAAAATAATTATTTAAAACCATAATCTCTTAATACTAGTTAATTAATTAACTATTTCAATATTATCTAATATTACTTAATTCTCCTCACACCCTAAATACCTTAAATTTAACATTTATAAGGTTACTACCCTTCACTTAAGGGTCCCTCCAACACATAAAATTTCATAAATAAATACATATACAAACACACAATTATTTACGAAAATCAAATAAATAATTAAATTAAATTGGGGTGTTACAACTTTCCCCCACTTAGAATATATTCGCCCTCGAAAATTTACCCGATGCGAACAACTCCATATACGCTTCTCACATCCAAATTTCCAACTCCAATGTCATGTTTAAAAACATTACAAATATCACAAATTAGAATTCCACATCATTAACAACAACATTCCAACAAGATGCAATGTACTCGACAACCGACTCAAGTCACAATATGGTACCGAGTTATGAATACATGGGTTCATTTTGCTCCCTGTTCCATCACCATAGAATCTAGTTCTCTCTTGAACTGGAGCACAAAAAAATCGTTACCATCGCCATAGGTAACACTTCAGTAATTCCTCGTCATAGGAATTAGCTACTCGTACTCAAACCATTACCATAGGAAATGAGGTCACAACATAAATTAGAACATAAAGTTCCATGACATAAACATCGTCTTCATCATTTAATCACACAACAACATTGTCATAATAACATCGACATAACAACATCAACATAAAACTATTACCAACATCATTGTCGCACAACATTAGTACAACAATGCCACGATTCACCAATCGAACATGTAAATCAATACATTTACCGACACAGTAGTAACATGAATAATATTTAAACCTTTCACCTATCACTTCTATTCCAGAACTTCCAATGGTTGCATCATTCTTATAGGTTTCTGATGCTCAACCAAGTCATAATCCTTCAGGAATTCCAACCATCTTCATTGCCTCATATTCAGTTCCTTCTGATAAAATAGATACTTCAAACTTCTGTGATCACTAAATACCTCTAATCTAGAATCATAAAGATAATGCCTCCAAATCTTTAACACAAACACCACTACAATAAACTCTAAATCATGAATAGGATAGTTTCTCTCATGAATCCTTATTTTTCGTGAAACATAAGCTACAACCTTGTCATCTTGCATCAACACACCACCTAAACCCATCATCGACGTATCACAAAACACCACAAATAATTCACTAGGTTCAGGAAAAATTAGAACTGAAGTCTTAGTCAATCTCTTCTTCAGCTCTATGAACTTCTTTCACAATGGATATCCCACACAAACACTTCACCTTTACAAGTCAACTTAGTCAACAAAATTGCTAACTTAGAAAAGCCTTTAATAAATCTACGGTAGTAACCACCCAAGCCCAAAAAGCTATAATCTCTGTAACAGACTTCAGAGCCTCACATTGTAGAACTGCATCTACCTTGGATGGATCCACAACAATGCCATCACCTGAAATAACGTGTCCAAGAAAACTCACCTCTTGCAACAAGAATTCACACTTTGATAACTTTGCATACAACTTCTTCTCTTTTAACACTTGTAACATAATCCACAAATGTTCAACATGTTCTTCTTCCAACTTGGAATAAATTAATATATCATCAATAAAAACCACTACAAACTGGTCCAAATAAGTATGAAATATACGATTCATATATTCCATAAACACTTCATGTGCATTAGAAACGCTGAACGACATCACCAAATATTCATAGTGTCGTACTGAGTTCTAAAAACCGTCTTCTAAACATCCTCATCCTTCCCTTGAATTTGATGGTAACCCGACCTCAAGTCAATTTTGTCGAATATTCGTGCAACTATCAATTGGTCCATCAAATCATCTATTCTCGAAAGTGGATACTTATTCTTGATGATTAATTTATTCAATTGTCGATAATCCATACACAATCTTATGCTACCATCTTTCTTCTTTACTAGCAACACCGAAGCTCCCCAAGGTGACACACTTGGTCTCACAATTTCTTTTCTAGAAAATCTTCTAATTTCTTTTTCAACTCTGCTAACTCCGACACCGACATTCTGTATGGTGCCATAGAAACAGGTCTGGTACCGGGGACAAAATCAATAGAAAGCTCCACCTCTCTCTGGCGGCACATCTGAAATATCATCCAAAAACACATATGGAAAATCATGTATACCACTAATTCAACCATTGTAGCTTTATTGTTAAATTACAAGGATGAAAACATCGCAAACACACAAGCCACACCTTCCAAGAATCCTTTTACTTGTGTAGCGGATGGAAAAACTCTCCACCTTCATCGAACTCGACTTTACGGTCTGAAGGTAAGTCACATATATCTTCCAGGAAAAACATCATGGATCACACACCACATGCATAACATTAGCCGTCACACTCCTCTCTACTATTTAAAGAGCCAACATCAACAATACCCGATCGTTCTCCCTAAAGACATCTCAACTTCGCCGAAAGACAAGAATTTAAAATCCACAACATCTTCCATGTCAGGAACAACATAGCTTCAACATCGCCTCAGGTCTTGCAATCAGCGGTACACTGCACCAATTTGTCAAAACAATTGGCAAACACTTAGTTTAACTCAACCAATCCGTCCCAAAAATAACATCAACTTGTTCCAACTAAAGGACAAATTGTGCCCATCCTTAGGAAACACGCCAGGATACTCAACACACCACTGGCTCATCTCTAGCCAAAACATCGCCTCCCCCCTCCCAAGGAAGCGGACAACAAGAAGTCATGACCGTCTTCCCTCGAGGATCGCTCCATTTTGTAAAACACATTATTCTCAAAGTAGTTGAACTAGCCAACACTGCACTCTCGCATGCAGAAATACAATATCCAATCTCTCTACAATTAGAATATCCAAGAGAAGCATACACTTCTCACCCACTTGTTTCAACCCCAACCTGTAAATGGAAAACAAAACAAGCATCAATGGTGTTTTCACACTCATGTCACATACTAGGGAACAAACATAATTAAACAACCTGGCCAGACGGACCGACATGCTCTGATACCACTATGTAACACCCTAATTTCCCCGACGATTAGTTTAAATAAAAATAAGAGTAAATAAAAACAAAATACAATTAGAGGGCTACGTTCAATAATCAACAACAACCCGCTCATGTATTTTGATATGTAACAACATATTCATTCATACACACTTATCACACCACAACATATAATTACTCACCAAATAACACAATCATGCAGCATTTTAATCGTTTCTAGGCTGCAAAACTATTTTTAAATGAAAGCACATTACGTTAGCTTTCTAACGCTTCGAACGACGCCTCAATCAGACTTGCGGGTCAAAAGTTATAAATTTTACAAAATTCTGATAGAATCTGCAAACCCAGCTATAACCGGTTACATAAAAAACAGAGGTAAAAATCTTCATTTTTCTGCTACAAAAATAGTTCCCAAAACTTCATAAAACCCCAATTTTTATCCCAAAAATTATTTTCGATTTGTACCCTTCAAAACCCATTAACATACATGAATTCTAACATTTATCATGCATACAATCCATCAAGAAGCATACAATTTAATCGAATCACTCATCGGTCAATTCAAGCATACAAACGAAGGAAATTTAACACATATAAAGATAATTAACCACCACCTATTATCATACAATCTCAATATGAAAAGAATTCTCACCCTTACCTTAAATTGATGATTTCGAAGCTTCTCAATGAGTTCTTCTTCTTCCTCCTCAAAGCCCTAGCTCTTCCTCTCTTCTCGTTTCTCCTCTTTTCTTTGTTTTCATGTTCTGAGCTTTTCTTCTCTATTCACCTTTTTTCCTTATTTTTGTTTTATTATCACAATTTCTAATTATTCATTACCTCACTAAATGAATATAATAATAATTCCACTAAAATAATTATTTAAAACCATAATCTCCTAATACTATTTAATTAGTTAACTATTTAATATTATCTAATATTACTTAATTCTCCTCACACTCTCTAAATCTATACATTTTTACCGCAACACTCCAAATACCTTAAATTTAACATTTCTAAAGTTACTATAGACTCTCCCACACATCAAATTTCATAAATAAATACATATATAAACATCATTATTTATAAAAATCAAATAAATAATTAAATCAAATCAGAGCGTAACACTCAACATGAGAGATTTTGTCAAAATTTCCAGCATCTACTGAAGCTTGAATGAAATGCATCAATTTTTTTGTTGTTCTTTTCTTTTCTATGATAATATTTATCGACTTATGTTGCATTTATATATATATTCATGATAAAATAAGTATTACTATATTTTTTCTTTTTCACACCATAATAGTTAAATTGAAAAAACCTAAAAACCTAATTTGGAGAATCAAGTAGCTTAATTGTCTTCTAATCCCCAGCAAGAGAAAGAGACAAACAACTCTTCGGAGATCTCAAAGGTCTCTTTTCTTGCTCCTTTTCATCTTCAACCAATCCTCGTTTTCTCCGAACTCCAACTCTCTCTCTTATTTACCCCTTCACTTCTCCTTCAATCAATCTCCAATTTTCATGGCTACCCTTTACTCAACTCACTGTCGTTCATTCCCATCCTCTTCCTCCACCTCTTTCCCTCCTTCTAACCGCTTTCTCCCCGCCACTCTTTCTCTCAAATCTCAACCCCATTTTCTTCAACACCTTTCAGTTCATACCCAACAACATGACGGTTTGTCTCCCCCATCTTTTTACTTGTATTTTCCAATACCCTTTTATTTATATCAGCTAAATTTTCAATTTTTACTTCTTTTCTACCATAGTATATTGACCTGAAATAGTAGTACACTGTGAATATGTTTGTATTTATAAGAAAAAGTTTATTTTTTAGATTTATTGATGATTTATTGAATAATTAATGTATCTGGTCTATATGTTGTCCATGTACATTGAACTTACATAGGTGCAGCTGTTGTATCTCCGGTTGAAAACAACCATAGTGGCAAGCTATTGAGACCGGAGATATTGCCGGTTATATCGTCCAAGGAGTCTGGAGTTGAGGTTGATTTTGAAAAGGATGGAAATGAGGTTACGGTTAGTATAACGGTTGTTGGAGCTTCTGGAGACCTTGCTAAGAAGAAGATTTTTCCGGCACTCTTTGCGCTTTACTACGAGGGGTTTCTGCCTAAGGTTGGATATTGATAGATAGTTGTTTTTTGTTTGTATGTTTTGAAATTTTTGGTTATGTGGTTGGGTTAGGATTGAAGTATTGTTTTGCTTTATGGCAGCACTTCACTGTTTGCGGTTATGCTCGAAGTAAGATGACTGATGTAGAATTGAGAAATATGGTTAGCAAGACTCTTACTTGTAGAATTGATCAAAGGTAAATATACCTTTTACTTGTTCTCTTTGGTTTCAGTTGTACATAGCATAGTGTCGTTAAATAGCGGCTATGATGATGATATAGCATAGTTGAATTTGAATGCATCACTATTGTTCCACACAAAGTAGTCAATAGCGGCCAATAGTGGCACTATCCTGCTATAGCAGAGGGGAGTGGAGGCTGGCTGCTACAGGAAGAGGCTTAGCAGTGCAAAACACTATAGTGGCCGCCATAGGGTAAATCGTGGGTAGCGGGGGCGGGGCGGTTCCTGGCCCCTCTATCCTTTTCCCTTTTGATTTTGAAACACCGAAATTATACCCCTTAAATTAAAAATGTTTGGGTAATTTTGAGATTTTCAATCAAATTTGAGTTGAGACTCAACCCTAACCTTCCTTCACCGACGTTTTTGCATTGCAGTCAATCCAAATAAAAACCACAAGTTCTTCCCTCACCTTTCTCAGTACTTCATTCTTCCATCTGCAATTCGTATGTTTATAATTATTATTCATGTAATTTGTCCAAAAAAAAGATCAAATAGCAGTCATCCCGCTATATGCTATTCCGCTATCTCATTTTCGTGGCGTGCCGTTATCTGGGATTGACTACTCGACTACTCTGATTCCACAATACGTTGTTTAGTACAAAATGCTTAGGCTATAGCATTGCTACGCAGCAAAATTTAAATAAATCACAATTTTCTACAATCCGTGATTTATAAACTAGTGTTGGCTCGTGTAGTTTTTGGATAATAGTGCTTTCTTTATCCTTTCTTGGGGGAATGGTTTGATTAGAACTTTGGACTTCTCATTATAAGGGTCAAGTTGATGCTCTTTATATTGCTAACGACATGATTCGAGATTCTATGGTTATTTAATTTTCTTATTTATTATGCTTTGGAGACATTTTTTGTTTTAATTTATGTTGTGGAATTTCAGAGAGAACTGCAATGAAAAAATGGAACAATTTCTTAAAAGATGTTTCTATCATTCGGGTCAATATGATTCTCAGGAAAATTTTGCAGCACTAGACAAGAAGCTGAAGGAACATGAGGTAATTGGACAAAAGAGTATCTTAAACGATTTAATCTATAATAACTCAATGTGGTTCCGATGTCGTTAGGAACTTTAATTTGAATTTAATGAGAATCTGTTTGAATTCAAAAATTACTTTTGTAGGGTGGGAGAGCTTCTAATCGCCTGTTTTATCTTTCAATTCCTCCTAATATATTCGTAGATGCTGTAAAATGCGCAAGCTTGTCAGCTTCTTCGGGTAATGGTGGTTGGACAAGAGTCATTGTTGAAAAGCCTTTTGGCCGTGATTCAGAATCCTCAGCCGCTTTAACAAAATCGCTCAAGCAGTATCTGACCGAGGATCAAATTTTCAGGTTTTCTAACTTAACTTTGAGCCTGTTTCTATCATATAAGTGATTATGTATAAGCTATTTCTATAACAAAAGGTAAAATAAAGTCTAGGCTGTTTTCATAAGCTATCCTTGAAAACATATAAAAATAGTTAATTGAAAACAACTTATGGACTTGTCATAAGTTGTTTCCCTAAACTCTTTAAAATAGTCTCACACGTACTTATGTCCGTAGATGAACTCAAATATGTCAATCCAAATATAATCAATCTGCAAATTTTAAGAATTGCTAAGTGTTTAATTTGAGATGGAAAAATCTTATACAGGATTGATCACTATCTTGGGAAAGAGCTTGTGGAAAATCTTTCTGTTCTCCGATTCTCCAATCTAATTTTCGAACCATTATGGTCAAGGCAATACATAAGAAATGTACAATTGATATTCTCAGAAGATTTTGGTACTGAAGGACGTGGCGGGTAACCTTTACTCCTTTGCAACATTCACACTTTTTCTCATCTTAATACGGCGATTCTCATATATTTTCCTATTTGTACCATGTGTAGGTACTTCGACAATTACGGTATAATTAGAGATATTATGCAGAATCATCTACTTCAAATACTAGCCCTCTTTGCAATGGAAACCCCTGTTAGCTTGGATGCCGAGGACATTAGAAATGAAAAGGTCTCGTATTGTTATCCACTTGAGCTATGCATCGGTGACTCATGGTTTTTGTAGCACATACACCTCTAAAAAAATGTGTTTGTGTCAGACACCGACACTTGTAATTATGTTCAATTTATTTATTTTTTTAATTACTATCGGTGTCGATGTATCAGTGTCAGTGTCATGCCCCGGATCGATGGTTCATGGTTTCTGTAGCACAGACACCTCTAAAAATGATTGTGATTTCTCATCGCTTTCAATTTCGTAATGGATTTCAGGTCAAGGTTCTTCGTTCGATGAGACCCATTAAACTCGAGGATGTAGTTTTAGGCCAATATAAGAACCACACAAGAGGAGGTGTTGCATATCCAGCCTATGTTGACGACAAAACTGTACCAAAGGGCAGTTTAACACCAACATTTGCCGCAGCTGCCCTCTTCATAGATAACGCAAGATGGGACGGGGTTCCTTTTCTGATGAAGGCCGGGAAAGCGCTGCATAACAAGAGGTAAGTAGGTGAAAAAGTTTGGCACAAGGTTCTCAATTGTAGATTGCAGAAAATAGCAGTTTGCTGTATTTCTTCTATGCTCCATTGCTATAGCGCTGATATAGTCGCTATTTGACAATACTTTGTGCTAAATAGCGTATCGTGGAATAAAAGTGATTGCTCAAATTCCGCTACACCATAGTGTTAGTGTTGATATCGCCGCTATTTGACAAGATTGGTTTTGTATACATGTGTTGTTTAATGCTACCTTTCTATTGAACTTCTATGTTATTTTTGATTCAGAGCTGAGATAAGAGTACAGTTCAGGCACGTGCCGGGCAATCTATATAATCGAAATTTCGGGGCAGATCTTGATCGGGCTACAAACGAACTTGTTATAAGAGTTCAGCCTGATGAAGCTATCTATTTGAAAATCAACAACAAAGTACCCGGGCTAGGAATGAAGTTGGACCGCAGTAATTTGAATCTTCACTACGCAGCAAGGTATAATCTTTTAACCCGAAAAATCAACTTTATGCGGTGCTGAATATACATTTCACATTAGTCGGTTAGCTACCGCAAATTCACCTTATTTCGTGCATGATCATGGTACTGGCAAAATATTACATTAAAATTTTGATGGTTATTTCAGGTACTCGAAGGAAATACCAGACGCTTATGAGAGGCTACTTCTCGACGCAATTGAAGGAGAAAGAAGACTCTTTATACGCAGCGATGAACTTGACGCAGCTTGGTCACTCTTTACGCCTGTGCTGAACGAGATAGAAGATAAAAAGATAACTCCAGAATACTATCCTTACGGTAGTCGTGGTCCTGTTTGCGCTCACTATCTTGCAGCCAGGTACAACGTACGATGGGGCGATCTTGGTTTAGATGTAGAACCATAACACATGACACTCTGTCGCGATTGTTATCAGCCTCCGATTTTAGCTAACACGCCCGATGATTTGCGGTTTCTTGACAGCGCGTTTTTTTTTTTTTTTTTAATAATACACTTGTATGGTAGGAGGAATACATGAAAACATGTAAAGTAATAAGGGATTAAAGTGAAGAATAGTGTAATGAAGCATTGAGATTTTTCATTTATTTATTTTTGGTTAGATGGTAAATGCTTCATGTAATTTTCATTTGAATGTATTTTGATTTGAGGGAATCATAAGTTTAGGAATTGAGTTTGCAGGGTTTGGGCAATTTGGTCTTTGAACTTATTGAAAATACAGAATGGTTATTGTAATTGAAAATCTTTTATCATGTTATAGTATGTAAATTTTTCTCAGAGACTGTTCTGAATTCTGAATTCTGATTGGCGCGGCCGTGATTGCGGTGCACCGTGACAAAAATGGCAACGTAGTTTTATGATGTATCGGTCCGACGCAAAAGTGGATAGCGGGTGTAGTGGCAGAGATCACGGTCGATTCAAATTGGGTTGGGTTGGTGGGTTTTTACCCATTACTTTAAAAACTTAAAAGAAGTTCTAACTTTTTTTTCTCTTTTTCGATCATTCGTTCGCACTTTTGAGTAACGATACTCTTCTTCCTTTGCACAGTCGCAAACGTTCCTTTCCTCTTCCTCGTTCACACACTGTTCATCTGTCTTCCTCCATCGTTTCATCTTCATCGTCTCTGTTCCTCTTCCATTGTTTCATCTTCATCGTCTTTGTTCCTGAGTTCCTCTTCCTCTATTACTTCAAGTTTAGTTCAGGTATGTTCCTCCTTGTCTTTGTTCTTATGTTTTCTACTTTTATATTTTTTGCCTTTAAAGTGTGCAACCTATATTTGTTCTATGTTTCTCTTTCTCTCTGTAATATTTTCTCTTCTATGTTCCTCATTCTCTCTGTAATATTTCATTCCCTTGTATATTATTTACCCTCCTCTGTTCTTGTTCTGTTTTTGTCTTCATCATCTTATGTAGGTTATTTTCTTACCTCATATGTTATTTATCCCTCCTCTGTTTTGTTTTTGTTCAGTCTTTTTTCTAATAGCCATGACAACTCCAACTCCTTTTACTAGTTCTATTCCACCACCATCATCCAACGCTCAATCAGTTGCTTCTTCTGCTAAGCAATACAAACTTATCGGTCATATAGGATGAAAAATTAACCATTTGAAAGTCTTGAATAATAAGAGAAGGGTTACATGTGATTTTTGTAACGAAACGTCTACCAGAGGAATTTCTAGGACTAAACAACATCAATTAAGAATAAAAGAAAATGTGAAGTCTTGCACTCAAACACCCGAAAACGTTAAGTTGATTTTGCAGGAGCATGAAGATAAGAAATTGGTCGCAAATAAATCTATGTCAGGTGAAGTTCATGAAAATAATGATGAGGCATCACAACTTCTAGACATATCTAGAACTCGAAGTGGAAAAGGCCAGCTGAAGAGGGGAGTATGCCGGTTGCCAAGAAGAAAAATGTCCCTTAGATGTAGGGCTGACAATGAACCAAACCAACTCGAAAATAGTTCGTAATTTAATTCGACAATTAAATCGTTGAACTAGGTTCATGAACCAAATGAGTTGAGTATGAGCGAAAAATTAAGTTCGTTAACTAAATGAGCTGAACTTGAACTATACATAGTTCGACTCGTTAGGTTAATGAGTTAACTCGATTACATATGAGAAGAATTATACTGTCTTTAAGATTAGGTTTAAATATTTACTTCAAATCTTAGACAAATTTAATCTTCAATTTAGTAGTTTTTGAATTAAACTCTCAAATGTATCTCTTGAAAGTTGTGTAGATTTTGAATTAGTAGATTTCGAAGATAAAGTTAAATTTTAATATGATAACTTTTATTTTATTTTAATATTTTATTTTAAAAAAAAATATTTATTTAAAATGTCAAATATACTAAAAAATATATATTTGAAAAAATAGTTTTTAAGTCCGTGAATCGTGTGAGCTGAACCTAATGAGATGAACCTAACGAGTTGAGCCGAACTGTTCGTGAACTTATAACAAGTCAAGTTTGAGCTTAAAAAAGAGTTCGTGTCGAACTCGAACTCGAACCAATTCTTAACGAGTCGAGCCGAGCTGAGGTGAGTTCGACTCGACTCATTTCGAACTCTACTTAGATGTAATTTACTATAGAAAACCAAAGGAAACTTTGAAAAAAGGAAACCAAACAAGCTTGAATGATGCTTGTGATAAGAAAGCAAGAGCAAGTTGTTGCCAATACATTACTCGTTTCTTTTATCAGAATGAAATTGCTTTCAGTGTTGCAAATTCAAAAAGTTTCAGATTGATGGTTGAAGCAATTGGTATATATGGTGCACATTTGAAGCCTCCAAGCTATTATGAGTTGAGAGTTTCATTGCTTCAAGATGAGTTGAAACTTACACATGAGATCTTGAGTACTAATAAGCAAGAACAAGTAAAATATGGTTGTTCCATAATTCTGATTGCTAGACTGATACAAAAGGAAGGACATTGATTAATTTTTTTGGTCAATTCTCTGGCATAAACAATGTTTGTTAAAAGTGTTGATGCTTCTGCATACATGAAAACTAGACAAAAGTTGTTTGAGCTTTTGGATAACTTTGTTGAAGAGATATGTGAAAGTAATGTTGTGCAACTAGTTGCCGATAATGGAAGCAATTATGTCTTGGCCGATAAACATCTTCAAGTACAAAGGCCAAAAATCCTATACTTGATACTAGAAGATATCAAGAAGGTTATACAAAAATGAATGACTTTTGTGGGCTTCAATTACAACCATTCCATGGTTTTAAACTTAATGAGGAAGAAATTAGAAAATGAGTTGGTTAGAAGTAGAGTCATAAGGTTTACCACAAACTTTGTTACTTCGCATAGAGTTGCACACTTTAATGGCAAAAATTAGAACCACGTTCACTTTTGAAGAATGGTTGAACTTGAATGCAAGTAAGGAGGTGAAAGGAAAGAAAGCAGCTGCTATTGTAATTCAAGTCAAATTTTTGGAGGATATTATGTACACTCTTAAAGCTATGAGGCCTCTTGTAAAATCACTTCGGCGTGTTGATAATGAAAAAAGCCAACAATAGGTAACATCTATCATGCAATGTTGGAATCCAAGGAGCCAATTACAAAAACACTTCAACAACAATGAAAGCAAGTACAAAGATATCATTAAAATTGTTGATAGAAGATAGAGTATTCAACTTCATCATCAGTTACACGCATCTGGACATTATCTTAATTCGAGGTACTTTTATAGCAATTCGATAATTAAGAATGACGATAAGTTGTTGGATGGTCTTTCTGCATCCATTACACGCATCTGGACATTATCTTAATTCAAGGTACTTTTATAGCAATTCGATAATTAAGAATGACGATAAGTTGTTGAATGGTCTTTCTGCATGCATTGATAAGATTTCTGCAAGTGTTGAAGTTGTTAATGCTATCCATGTAAGATGGGTGTATGCCACTTTGCATTGAAGGAAGTGGTAAGGCAAAAGGATGATGTAGCTGTTGGTAAGTAACAAAGTATAATTGGAAATAATTTAATTACATAACAATTTTTGTGTATATATGCTAATGCAAATAAGTCTTGCATTTTAGTCGAGTGGTGGAGGAGGTATGAAGCAAAATCACCAAATTTGCAGCTCCTTACTATTAAAATATTGAGTTTGACGTGTAGCTCATCAGATTGTGAGCAGAATAGGAGTGCTTTTGAGCATGTAAGTAGTTGATTTTAAGTTATAATTTCAAATTAATAGTTTATATTTATTATATAAACTAACACTAAAATCATAATATAGATTCACTCCAAGAAGAGAAATAGGCTCGAACATCAAATGTTGCAAGACTTGGTTTTCATCAAGTATAATCAAAATTTGAAAGAGTGCTTTAACATTGATGATTTGATTGATCCTATGGTCATGGATGATCATATTGATACCAATAACCTATGGTTGTTAGGAGGTGTAGATAAAGCTCAACCTGATAATGATGATATGGTGTATGGTGATGATTTGTCTTGGCTAGATGTTGAAATTGCAAGGGGTGTTGTTGAGCGTACAATAAACACTAAGGGTCTGTTTGGTTCAAATGAGGGGGAGGGGAGGGGAGGGATTTTAATGAAGGGGAGGGGAGGGGAGGGGAGGTGAAGGAATTTTTTAATCAAATAAGTGTTTGGTTCAAAAGAGAGGAGGGGAGGGGAGGGGAGGGATTTTAATTAAAAATGTGTTTGGTTCAGAAGGGGAGGGGAGGGGTTTTATTAATAATTTACATTTTTATCCTTATGAGCTTATATAAGTCATATGATATTAAAATGTGAAAAATTCCTGCGTATTTTTGTTGGTAATAAAATTTTTAATATTGAGTGATTAAAAAAGTATTTATTTGTCACATAAAGTTAAAAAATCGAGTACAATCGATTCGACTTATAACTTTTCAACATAAATTAAACTATATGCCAATAACATCGTTTAAATTGTGATGAATCATATAACAAAACAAATATATAAAATAACTTATTACTAAATATTAATAGTTCAAAATATTTAATAAAATGAATAAACAAAAATAAATAAAATGATATGGTTTACAATTTGATATAAAAGAAAATATGATAGAGTACATAACAAAATTAAAAGGAAAAAAACGAATATAACGAAACATAATTTTTTTTATAAAAAAAAGACAATGATTATGATTTATATTAATTATAAAAATTATAAAATAATTTGAAGGTGAAGAACAATTATAATAAGTTGATGAAAACAATCGAGAAAAAACAGTAACACAAAAGATAACAAATAGTTTTGAAATACTGAAATTAAACTGAGGATATTTTAGTAAATATAATAATTTTTAAATATCAAAACTCATATTCCCTCCCCTCCCCTCCAAATCCCCCCAATTCGGAGGGAACCAAAAAGTGTGTTTTGGAGGGATTTTGCT